TGCATAGCCTGAACACGAGAACTCCTAGTCTCCAACTCCATATAGCACACAAATCACTATGCCTGATCCCAAATTGCGCCGTACGAATACATATCACACCTCAAGTACCCAATCATCCCACGAAAGGTATTCTAAAGTTTCCCTGTGCCATCAAACAAACTCAGATATCAACAGTCGATCCCAAATGCCGCAACACTACCGAAGTATTATCAGTTTACATCACATTGCCCTTTTACTGGAACATATACCCCCGTCGAATCACTATGGTTGGCAATACCATTTTCCTTAATCATTTGAAGATCGATTTTTTGATCACCTGCAGTTGCCCGTGCTACTTAAGAATTTAATGACTTTCCATTATGAACAGAACCGTAACCTTACACACACAAATCCCAATCCTCCACCACATATCGCATATACCATACCATACTAGTATAACATGAGAACTCCATCTCCCTTCCTAACCACAAACATCTACGTACTCCACTAGTCAAGAACTCTCCATCAATCCCATCAAGAAGAGAATTCATTAAACATTCCATGCTTCGCATGCCCATAGGAAATTTATACGTCTCTAAACCACGGTAAAACTTATCAAGAACTCTCCCCCAATTCTATTGCACAAGCTAAACTGCCAGGACTGAATCCTTCTACCCGAAACAAGCTAAGCAAGCTATCAAAACTCAAGAGCCTTGCTGCACAATACCTGTAAAAGCCCATTACCTCGAACACATACGAAGAATTAATCACATCCTTACCATACCGATTCGGTCTACTATCAAGCTATTCCATCTATCTAATTTCCCTTTTTGATTCATCATCCACTTGATATTTCTCCCCCGCTGTAGCATCACAATGCCTTAATCCAAGCTTACCACACAAGACTCGAACATAAGACCACACTATCTAAGACCCATAGGCCACTGAATATTCTCTCTATTGTTTCCCAGAAATACCACATTCTAGAATACTTTACTCTGAAGAACTTTCTGCGAATCTAAATTCGCTTCCTTTACTTTCTAGGTACCGACACATAGGATCCCATGATCAACATAAAAATACCACAAGTCTTGACATTTTCTATTGAAAACACTGTCTTTAGTCACATACACCACCTTAAAACACCTGAGTGCTACATGTAGATTCTTGAACACATTAAAACCATTCTCGAGAGTTATTCGCTCTTATTCATCTGCAAATTACCTGATTTAACGAACAGAACCACTCGTGCTTTATTGACACTCCGATACCGTAAAATGAGACCCTCATCCCAATACAACCAAGCAACTTCCTGCTCTATGCACCGAGCATTCTTTACCAACAACAACTCTAGACATTCCAAAATTCTCATACCCTATGGAACATAATATAACCTTTGTCGAAATTTTTCTTCACTCGCCCATCCTTGGCTTAATTTCTGCAACTAGAACCGATTCGCCAGCATACCTCGAGACGTAACCAACATAGCACATAACCGTGCAATCAGCTAATCAACAGCAACCTCCCCAACTTGGCTCGAAGCCATATATCAAGACACACTTAACAACTCATAACACTTTTACTCTAATGATGCCACAATGTCGTAGTGAGATTAAACTCAAATCATGTACAAGTTTGTGAAAACACAGATCATCTAGTACTGAAATCCTCTACAACCCTCGGATTTATCCCCACATCAACTGAGTCCACTCTCTTAAGCGACCCAAATTTTTAAATTTCAACACATACCCTTCAATTACACATGAGATCTTCTAACATACACGTAAGGACCATACCACTCAAGAACACTCCGCAGGAGATGACCCCTGTTTCACCTCAATTTAGTACTTCAGCATACCTTTCACCATCATATACGTTACTCAGTCATTAGTCTTCCTGAGTCCGAACTCATATCACCGCATGCAATGCACTTCACTTCCCAACTAGGAGGTATGACAATGTTCTTCACGCGCCCATAATTCGGGCTACACATCAATCCACAATAGGAGTCGAATCACTTAACAGTTCATCTATTATGCTGCAGACTTCTTCGTCACTACCAAGTCATATAATTACATCTCGCAGTACTAACATACTCATCACATGAATACCAAACCGCCATTCCGGCTAATAGGGGCAATACTGAACATATAAGTTCAAAACACTTGCTCACACAATCAGCACCTCGGTGCTCAAGCCATAGGCAAGGATCCGGCCTCAAGTCCTCCAGACTGGCCCAACATACTCACGAAGATTACATCTCGCCCCTCGATCGGGGAATCACAAACCATCAAGGCACATATAATACTGAGCGCTCACGTGCGCATACAGACGTGTGGAAGGAATTTCAAGAGTTATATCTCAAGCTGAATAAAGTACGCACGATAAGAATTCCAAGAATGGGAAGTTTTCCAAAAGGTTCTGCAGCCTCTCGAGGATAAATACAGACGTCTCCGTACCGATCCGCGAGACTCTACTAAACCTGCTCATGACTCGTGAGACCTAGTAACCTAGGCTCTGATACCAACTTGTCACGACCCAATTTCCCATACCCGGTCGTGATGGCGCCTCTCGTGAAGACAAGGCCAGCCAACTAACCCAAATTCTTTCACTAACAATTATTAAACATAAATGAATAGAAGATACAACTTAATGGCATTAGAAACTGTTAATTACTACCNATATATATATATATATATATATATATATAATAGTGTTTCTTTATTTTTGGAGCCTTAGGGCTTCACTTGCCTTACCCTAGAGCTCAGGAAACATCACAACTAAAACTCGTTAGTATGCTCATAAACAATTTGGATTTATTATAGATAGGTACCCAACATGAGAAACAATGAATGTGGTCCGAATATTGCAAAGTTTTTGAAAAGAAAAAGCTCCAAGCTGAAGTTGTCGGAATCATTATTTATCCAATTCAGGCCATCACCGTTTTAAAAAGTAAATAGAAATATAGAACAAGTCTATAAGTCACAGCAAAAAGACAGTTCATTCTCCCATTACAAATTCAAATGCAAATCTATAAAATTAGATCTTGGTACTTAAATAAACAAAAAGTAAATCAAAGATTCAAAATGATCATTAAAAATTATGGTGTGATAGACATAATATCTTATTTTTAACCAATTTTTTTAATTCAAGCCAAGATATTGAGAAAATCTTGATAGCAATCGTTTTCCTTTTAATGAGCATTATTCTGATTGAGTTCCATTTGAGTCGGTCCAAAAATAAATATCGACACCGAATGACAAATCAAACCTAGCTTCAGAACCCGTGTTTCCATACAAAAATTCTTTAAAAAAGTTATTTAGTTATATATTGGACTGAATTTTTAATTTTTGTGAAGATGAGTTTTCAAATTTGAAATGTGAGTTTTATCACTTTTTTATGCAAAATTTTATTTCCTTACAAAATTGCTAAAAAAGTTCACGTAAAATATATATTCAAACATAATTTTAAGCTTCAATTTTTTTTCCAACTTAACTCCAACAATTACCTTTAAAAAAATAAATTATATTTTATGCCCAAACGCCTGCTTAAACAGATGAAATTCCTTTTCTAGTCCAACTCGGGATCACTCGACCGACAACACTAAATTTCACCGCATGTCACGCGCGCTAAATTGAAACGGACATCCCGTTCACACTTTTATCTAGAGCTCCATACTATTTTGAAAATATCATGGTAGTAACGTAATTGAGTGAAAAACTGAGGGCATTTCAGCTTAAATTGGAGGTATAAATATCCAAAAATCTGTACTACCTCCACCTCCGTCGCATCTTCCTGGTCTTCGCAGCCGAAGCGATAAAGGTAGATTATTTATTTATTTACTTATTTTAACTTTTTTTTCACTCTCACTCTTTCTGCTGTTCTATATGTTTAGCTTTGAATCTCAAAATATAGGGTTTCTATGATCTGCAGTAAGCTTTAATTTTGGACTTATATTTTGCTGCATTTTCACTACGAGTTTCGAATTTTTTCTGATATTCGATTCATTGGATCAAGATAGTTTAATATTTTAAATATCTTAGTCAATTTAGTGTCTTTAAAGTTCTTTTGCATGTTTATATCCATTTTGTTTCTTTGATCTCTTTTTCCTTGTTAAATTAGTAACTTTATTGGTAATTTTGTGGAATGAAGTCTTCTTTGCTGGATGAGTTATTCATTTACAACTTTATTAGATTAAAACTGGCTGTTGTGTCTTATAAAAATGCTGCTAATTGCTATTTATATGATTAAGCCATAAATTTTTCTCTTTCAGTGCATAGATTCTTAACACTGCATACTTATACTTTTTCCAAGTTCTTTGTTTATTCCTGCAAACCATATTCTTCTGTAGTTTTCCTTTTTCTACAGAGTTAGGTGATTTACTATTATTATTTCGCGCTGCAATTACCTTGACCTTGATTTTCTTGAGGCTATGAGATGATCTCTATCAAGTTCAAATATTGTTACTTGTTGATTTAGACAGTTAGTATTTGCTTTGTCTCTTATTTTTACCATGCGTTCATATAGTATGAGTTGGTATGGTTTACTCACTTATTATGAGTACATTTGACCTGATTTTTGCTTCTTTAAAAAATGCATTTTCCGGCAATTCTCAAGGCTTATACTTCTTTAATCAGATACTGGAATATGGAGAATATGCACAGCTACTGGCAATTTGGTGATGAGCTTCGAGGGCAATCAAAAGTCATAGAGGATCATAAATGGTCAACAGCTGCTCTAAAATTGTCTGAGCAGATGAAGTACAAGGGTGAACGAAGGAATAACCTTGACCTTTCAAAGAGCTCGGCTGAAATTAGGCCCAGGGGTAGTTATATTTTTCAGGAAGATAACAAGTGGGAAAGCCTTAACTTCAACATGTTAAATTTGGATAACAAGATGACTGAAAATATGAGCAAGAATCGCGTTGCAGATGGCATTTACAATATGAATCCAGTTTATCTTAAGCCCGATTTTAACAGTTTGGGAAATGCGTCTTTAAGCAAGTTCAATGTCAGCAACTACACCAAGGAACCTGGCAAGAACAACAATAACAGCATCGAGAGCGCCAATGGGAATAACTCTGTTGACAAAAGGTTTAAGACTCTGCCTGCTGCTGAGACACTGCCTAAGAATGAGGTTCTTGGTGGATATATATTTGTTTGTAACAATGATACTATGCAGGAAGACCTAAAGCGCCTGCTGTTCGGTAATTACCTTTTCCCTATCATGTTAGACATCTTCTACCCAAGTGGACTATTGTGTTTGATATTGAATAGCCAGGGATCTTATTTCTTGTTACTAGTGTAACAAACTACATGGTGAACCTGCTTAGTTAACAACCAGTTATTTTACTCTATATTTTATGCTAGAAGCTAAAGAGCAACTAGCCAACAATTGAAGAAAATGAATTCCAACTTTGTTACTCCATCTGCTTAGTAGACTATTCTTTGTTTGATTTTCAGCCTCTGTGCATGTTAACTTTATGTGACTTTTTAGTTTTCAAGGCTGGCAGAAGAATTTTCATACCCTAATTTGATAGAACATTTTAGCTTGTTCCACTAAATTATTACCAGCAGAGCCAACTGTAAACAAAGTAGAAATCATCGATAAATTGATGACCAGAAAGTTATGTTTTTCAGAAAGCTTTCACATATCCTCAACTCCAGTAACAACATAGCAAAGTACCTACAAAAGTTGAAATTATTGATAAGTAGATGATGGCTAGAAAATTTCTTCCCATTGTTATCACCTCTAAACTTCAATCACTTCTTTGCAGGCCTACCTCCTAGATACAGAGATTCTGTCAGGGCTATAACACCAGGGTTACCCTTGTTCCTATATAACTACACTACTCACCAGTTGCATGGTATCTTCGAGGTTAGTTGCAGTAACTTAACTTTTGGTTATACTGGTGTGGTGTGAGCTCAAAACCGTGATAATATCAACTGTTTTATATTTCTGTAACTAAAGAGTAATTAACATCAAATCTCATGCCGGAAGCTGCATGGCGTGCAGTGTGAAGCATAAGATTTTTAGTTATACAAAGGATATCTGTTTCTTCTCTTATCATTTTTTCTTTAATTTTGTGGTTAGAAAATTTTCTCACCTAGGGTTAGGTCTGATGTGCTCGATACTTCATGGGGAACCTTATGGTTTTGCTGCTTTTGCCCTGAGCATTAACTTGCTGGCCTCTAATTTCTAGTCAAGAAATGAGTTCTGATTACTGTATCTTGTTAAATATGAGCACTAGAGCATTTTAGAATAGCTTCAGTAGAAGGCCTATCCTGTTACTTCTCCAATTGTGTTTTATGCAATAAGCATAGATGTCATATAAAAGTTGGATTCAATTCAATGGAGTCTCTCCAACATGCACCATGACTTTTTCTTTAAATTATCTGCGCAGGCGTCAAGTTTTGGAGGTTCCAACATTGATCCAACTGCCTGGGAGGATAAAAAGTGCAAAGGAGAGTCAAGGTTTCCTGCTCAGGTGAGGTTATGAATTACAGCTCACTTTTTATTGAGGCTTTTTGAAGAATCTGTATTGATTATTCAGTTTCATGTACTTAACGGTTAGGTAAGGATCCGTGTCCGGAAAGTCTGTAAGCCTTTGGAGGAAGATGCTTTTAGACCAGTTTTACATCATTATGATGGCCCCAAGTTCCGCCTGGAGCTCTCTGTGCCTGAGGTAAGATGAGATTTTGTTCACGTATAAGTTCCATTCACCTGTTATTTGGGGACTACAGATTTTTAACCCCTATAACCTTATTGTTTTGCAGACTTTGGACTTACTAGATCTCTGTGAAAAAGCTGATGTCTAGGTGCTATGTGCACGTGCTGGTGTCCTGTACTAATAAGCATAAAGGAATTGTAGCCTATGTGTATGTTATAAGTTTGTGGTGCATGTCAGCAGTGTGCTGTCTGTAGATTCTCCAGAGCGCAAGCTTTTGGGGCAAGTCTGGTTAAGCGGCTCTAAATTTAGGATAGCTTGTGTAATCCAAATAAGTGTAATGCTCATCTCTGAAGATGTTCGTAGATTAGCTTCACAAATTTAGCCATGTAATCTTACTGTAAACTTGAGACTAGTAAGAAGATTATGTAACACGTCAAGATGGAATGTGTTTCTTTATCTATAGTTGAGCTCTGCTTCATCCAATTTGTTCCACTTGAATTCTTAAAATTTATTTCCTTTCTGGCGATGCCAGTGTGTATCCACCAGGAAATTTGGTGCGGGTTGTCATGAGAATATTAGGTTGATGGTGAAATTGTATCCAGCGACAAGTTTCTGCAGAAACCATGTGGCTATCTTTGGCTCATTAGGGAACAGAGATAGATTAATGGGTACGAGAAACCATGTGGCTATCTTTGGCTCATTAGGGAACAGAGATAGATTAATGTGTCGTACCCAACGTTGACTGGGACTGTTAATGGTCCTTCCGCTGCTCATATAGAGTATGAAAAGCAGTTGTTTGGCTGGGACTGTGAATGGTCCTTCCGCTGCTCATATGGAGTATTGAAAAGCAGTTGTGGGACCGTTAACTATCCCCACAAATATCGTCGTCATGTTAAAGAAGTGCCAACATATAGTACGTCCGAATAATAACCTAGATACATGTACCAAAATAATTGTGTTAAACTTTACTTTGAAGTGTTTGGTTTGGACAGACTGCACAACCTGCAATTTGGTTTTCCTTGTATATAGCGATCACAAGTAGAAATACCGAACACTGACCAACTTTAGTATAAACTTCTGTCGGATGGGAATTCTTGCGGCATTATAAAATGTTAGTATTCAACCAAAACATCTGGCTGGAATACAGACTGTCAGAATGGGAACAGAAGTGGAGCAGACAGCAAAGTTTCTTGATTGAAATGGAGTACAATATGTCCAATTGGTTGAGCCAAAGTATCATTTCATGCATGGAGCTAGACAGCGAGATGTAAATGCATGAAGGTTACAAGGCGTAGAAGAAATAGAACAGTACGTAGTATTATTCCATCAGAAGTGCAAAAGCAACATCAATTATCTGACGAGCAAAAAAAGGCAGCACCTTTATAGTCTGGCTGTGGAAGCTAAATGTTGTAGGACATCCTGACTTTTCATTGTCATTCAATGACCATTTGCCATCCTGGTTCCATTGCTGCGGCATGCTAAGTTAAGCAGATTTGTGCAACAGAACCCCTCTAATCAGAGTTTTCTTTCACATTTGTGGCTCCTAGCAATGAATTCAGGTGCGCCTTTGCCCTCTTGGAAAAGTTCCTCAAGTTACAATTCCAGGTCTGAGTTGTACTATCTAGAATATTTCTACGGGTTTCCCAGATTCTCATCATACCCATGTTTCAAACTCATTCAAACAGTACTAACACTATCAGGAGCTAAAACAGAGCTGAACAATCTGAAGAGCCAGGGAACTGAGAAAATGTAAGCAGCTTTATGTTTGCAGTGCCACTTAAAATAAATATTTTTTTCATCTTAATTGCTTGATCCGGCAGCACAGCGTGTTTGTCCCTGCAAGAAAATCAGAAACGGCTATGAAGTAGTATCCTCACTCTCCCTGCAGCACGTTGATAAGAAGATATTGAAAAGGAAAGAAGAGCTCTATTTCCAACCGAAATGAATACCTTCAACATTATTCATGTGAATCCTCCTCCAGGATTTTGACAGAATCATGGAGCTTAAAAAGTTTTCCTGAGAGAGGTAATACTGCCTGAGGAATGTCAAAGAAAGTGCTAATGTTGCCATGCCACTCTGGTTACAGCAAGCCCATTCAACAAAGATTGACTAAGAACGCAAGAAGGTTCATTTTTCAGGTAAGACTTGTTTTGATATTCACTTTAATCCAAAAACTCCAGTCTACCTAAAGGAACTTATCCGATGGTCGTATTACACACAGATGTTATACATACAGGTCCCGATGGCAATTGCCGTGAAATTTGAAACTACGATCTCCTTCAAAAGATTCTATAAATGATGGGTAAACTTATGTAGCATCATTCACAAGGCTCCAACCAGGTGTTTTCTTTAAGCTTCCTTCCTTCATCTGCTTCCTTAGTTTTACCACATCCTCCCATCTTCCAGCCTCTGCATACATATTAGATAAAACAACATAAACGCCATGACTATTTGGATTCAAAAGCAGAATTTCTTTCACAACTCGTTCTGCAATATCTATATTTCCATGGCTATGACATGCATGTAATAAGGATCCCCAGATAACCACGTCAGCCTTCAAAACCATTACTCTTATGAGCTGCTCAGCTTCTAGCAGTTTCCCATTACGCCCAAGAATGTCAACCATGCATCCATAATGCTCAATCTTGGGCTCTATACCATACAACTCTTTCAAGGAGTGAAATATTCCTTCACCATAGACAAACAATCCGGCATGGCAGCATGCTGATAGAACCCCAACTAATGTAATATCATTTGGCTTTACTTTTTCTTGTTCTAGCTTCTTAAAGAAGTTAATTGCTTCTTTCGCATGTCCGTGAGCAGCTAACCCACAAATCATGGCATTCCAAGTGGCAATATTCCTTTCTCTCATACCACTAAAACACTTCTTTGCTTCTACTATGGCACCATTCTTTGCATACATGTTCACTAACGCCGTGCCAAGAATCACTCCTAATTCTATCCCTTTTTCTTCCATATATACGTGAATCTGTTCTCCTAATTGCAAACTATCCGACTGAGCACAAGCTGACAAAACAGAAGCCAAGGTGGCTCCGTTGGGCTCAACTCCATCCGCAAGCATACGCTCAAACAACTGAATAGCGTCATTATATCTATCATTCTGTGCAAACCCACAAATCATCGTCGTCCAAATACTCAAATTTCGCTCAGTAATTCCATCAAACACTCTTCGTGCATCCTTCAATACACGACAGACCGAATACGCTCTGATCAAACCATTACCAACATGCAAATCTAAATCCAACCCGAATTTAATAACATGACAATGCACTTCTTTACTAATATAAGTACACCTCAAGTTGGAACAAGCTTTCAGTACAAAAGGGAATGTATGTTTGCCGGGAGTAACGCAACGCCTTCGCATTTTCACATAACGGAGCAAGGCTTGTTGGGGATTTGAGCTACCAGCTTGAGCTCTAATGAGAGTGTTCCACATGAATGAATTGGGTTCGTTGATACTATCAAAAAGTTTTAAGGCATAAGAAACATTGCCTGATTCCGAGAGAGCACAGAAGGATAGTAAGCGGCTGGCAGCATAATTGTCGTGGATACGGGCAGTGATGATCATTTGGGCATGGATTTGCTTCAGTTGGTGCATTGAAGTGCATTGGTCCGCTAGAAGAGATAGGCGTGGAGGAGAATAAGGACCGACGGTGATAGTACAGAGGTGCCTGCAATGGAGTCCCCTGAAATTGAAGAGCTTCCATTTTGGCGGGACCATTATTGAGAACCTCCTTCTTGTCATACATACAGTTACATATAGTACCGAGTTTTCATGTTGGGACAATAGTTGTATTTATGGTTAGAGGCGGGCCACTAACTTACTTGCATTCAAACTCTATATTTGTCATAAATTTTTTATTAAATATGCATAAATTATTAATTTAAAATTCAGCAACTTAAAATGTATTAATAAATTCTGAACCCATAAGTTTAAAATTCCAGCTTCGCCTCTCATAGTGGTTGTATGCCTTTGATAAATTTGAACAATAGACAATGTAAGATTTACCTGTCTAACAGTATCGGTGAACAATTTAACTGAGATAGATAGAACCGATAATACGAAATTTTGGCTACCGATCAAAGCTCGTGAATAATTGCACAATATAATAGGTAAGATTGCCTATCCAACAAAACTTGTAAACAATTTAACAAGACAAATAGAATGAAAGTAGTACCACATAGTGTTGCCTCCCGATTTAATTTGTGAACAATTGAACAAATGTGCAAATTTGTCCATCCAGAAAATATATGAATAAGTTAATAAAATAAATAAAATTGAAATAGTACCAAATTGTGATTGCCCAACAACATTTGTGCAATTAACCAAGCATAATTTTTCCATTTTTTCAATTGTGCAACGTAGAGCCGTCAAAATGGGCTTGCCTGTGAGACCAGCTCAACCCAGCCCTCTATTAGGATAGTGTTGGGTTGTAATTTTTATAGCCCATTTAAAGTTGAGGCTTATAAGCCCGGCCCAAGTTAGTCTGCTGGCCCTTGAGGCATGATTGAGCATGAGCCTGGGCCGGCCCGTGGGCTAAAAATTAATTAAATTTAAATTTAAATATTTAATATTTAAAAAATAAAAATTAAAAAAATTATGAACTATAATCCCCATTCCCCAACCTTAGATTGCTCATTTACCCTTCCATATCAACTAGAATTTAGATTTTTGGTATGCATGTAGTATGGAAAGATTAGCTTTTGTTTTGCTTAATTAACAACAAACTAGGAAAAAAGTCAAGTTTTAATACCCAAAGTGTCACGACCCAAAATTCACTAATAATCGTGATGGCGTCGGACACTGCTGTCAGGCAAGCCAACCAAAATACTCAATTAAATTCTCGTTTTAATAATTTTTGAAAACTACGATTTTCCTTCATATTTTACTAGTAAAAGGTAATCATTTCAAATTAAATATAAATGTTAAGAAGTTAATACAAGATACCCCGTAATCATCCCAGAACCCGGTGTCACAAGTGCATGAGCATTTACTAGGCAATGAAATAAAATACAGTAACTGTCCAGAATACAAAGTGGACTGAAATGAAAATACAGTACAATACTCTGAAGGAGACTCTGCTGGCTACGGGTCGTCTCGATAAATGTAGCTCACCTAAGTCTCCGTATCAACCATGCTGCTATGCCACTAAGCCACTAGCCATACATGAACCTGTGCAACAAAAATGCACAGCAAGTCTAGTATGAGTACGAAAACAACGTGAGTATCCCGTCTAATCTCGGAGAAGTAGAAACGAGGGGTCGACTTCGACACTTACTAGTGGTCCGATAATAACATATCAATAATATAGTAAATCGTGGATTTTCATAAAGATGGGTGTAACTCAATAGCAGAAACCAAGTAAGCAATTCTTTCATTAATAGGAGATTTCCAAATTCATTTTTCGTCATTTATACATGTATCTCAAGTCAGGGAGAGCAAATACCAACATCTATTAATCCTAAGGCAAGCAATAAAAGCATGCGCAAATCATGCCGAGGACGTACGGCCCGATCCAACAATATTTAAACTGTCCACTGCCAGAGGGTCGAATGGCGCGAACCATAGACGCATCTATTACCCCGCTCGCGAATCATACATGCGACGCGGTCAAATATAAATAAACACAACAATCAGTCAAATCAAGAATTCATCAGGGAATAGTTATCCAAGGAAAAGCCAATTCTTTTTTAATAATTCAAGAAAATGAAGTTTAATCTTTTTAGAAATTCATTACTAATTCGATGTAATTTAAGCAATTCAAACTGTCAATAAGATTACAAATATTCCAAGTATAGCATGCTTTTGGGTCCTAGACTACCCGGACTTAAACATAATAGTAGCTAAGCACGGACTCTCGTCACCTCGTGCGTACGTAGCCCCCACAAATAGGAGCACAAATCCAATTAATTCACCTATGGGGACAATTTTCTCTTACAAGGTTAGAAAGGAGACTCACCTCGCTCCGAGGTTCCATAACCGGCTTCCAAGCCCTTCCGATGACTCAAATCGATGCGCAACGCTCCAAAACTAGCCAAGAAATGAGAAAATCCATAAATATAGGCTCTAATACTCACAACAATCCAATTTAGATAAATTCCTCACTTCGCTCGAAGAGTTGACAAAATCGCCCTCGGGCCCACGTGCCCGGATTCCAAAAAAAACTCACAAAATTCGACAACCCATTCCGCTATGAGTTCAACCATACCAATTTTATCAAATTCCGATAACGAATCGACCTCCAAATCTAGAATTTTTGTTTTTTGCAAAGTTTACAAATTTTCTCCAATTTCTTCCATTTGATTCACTAATACTTGATGAAAATAACCATGGAATCATTAAATATAATCACTTTTGGATATAGAACACTTACCCCAATCCATATGGTGAAAATCGCCTCAAAAATCGCTTTAATCCGAGCTCCATAGCTAAAAAAATGAGTAAAAATCTCGGACTGCTCGATTTATACACTGTCCAGCATTTTCACACCTGCGGTTACTGTTCACGCAGGTGCGGTACTGTTCACGCACCTGCGGTTATTGTTCAAGCAGGTGCGGTACTGTTCACGCACCTGCGAAAAACACAGCAGCTGCCCACAAATTTCAGCAGCTTTTAATTTCACTAAAAATGCTCTAACTCCATCATACGAACTCGGAATTCGACGATTTTTGTTCCTATGAGTCACAAATAATAATACGAACCTAGTCCTTCAATCGAAACTCAATTCGAAGCTCATTTACTCAATGTGATACCAATTTCGCTCGTTAAATAATTAACTCATGTTTTGCGCTAAAAACTCAATCATGACTTGATGAAATTAGACCAAACTTTCCAGATCACTCCTATAATTCATTATCAAAATCCCGGAAGTCTCGAAATCGAGTTTCAATCTCTAGAACTAAAAATGGACCTTTGGATCATTACATGCTTATGCTCAAAACGCCAAACTCTTCCAAAAACTCCTCCAAAACTCATCCGAGCCCCATGGGATCCCAACCAAGTATACTAACAAGTCCCATAACATGACACGAACTTAGTCGATGCCTCAAATTACATTGAACAACACTATCGCACTCCAATTCAAGCTTAATAACCTTTAGAATTTCAAACTTCTACATTTGATGTCGAAACCTATTAGATCACGTCGGATTGACCTCAAATTTTGCATACAAGTCGCATTCGACGTTACGGACCTACTCCAACTTCCAGAATTGGATTCCCACCCCAATATCAAAAAGTTTACTTCCGGTCAAACTCCTTAAAAACCTTCAAATTTCTATCTTTAGTCAAATGACTCCAAAATGACCCCCGGACCTCCGAATTCACTTCCGATCGCGCTCCCAACACCACAATCACCATACGGAGCTATTCCCAGACTTGGAATCCCAAGCAAACATCAATAACACTGAAATGCACTTCAACCCAAAGTTATGAAATTGTTCCAAAAATGCTAACTCCTACGATAGGCGCCGAAACATCCCCGGATCTTCCAAAACTCGATCCGGACATACGCCCAAGTCCGAAATCATCATACGAACCTGCTGGAACCTTTGAATCCCGATTCCAAGGTTGTTTACTCAAAAATCTAATCTTAGTCAATTCTTTCAACTTAAAGCTTCCGAAATGAGAATTCTCTTTCCAAATCAACTTCGAACTTCCCAAAATTCAATTCCGACCATGCGTACAAGTCATAATACCTGAAGTGAAGCTGCTCATGGCCTCAAACCGCTGAATGGCGCGCTAGAGCTCAAAATGACCGATCGGGTCGTTACATTCTCTGCCACTTAAACATACGTTCGTCCTCGAACGTGCTAAGAACTGCGCTGGAGTTGCCCGAAATCACTGTTTAACACCTCGTGCACCTATCCGTGCTACCACAACTTAGTTGAGCACATTAGCTCGATCAATTCTGAAGATATTCCCTTTTATTCAAGCAAATAAGCTTAGAGCCCAATTCCAACATCCAGAATTCTCTTCCAGGCCTGCTTCCAATATATAAACACCGTATCAATCACTACATGAGGTACTAGAACATGACTGCATTTCTTTGCTGAATTCTCACCATGCATCACATTATTCACAGGACCATAATAACATTCTCTGATCATAATAACCAACATTCCCTGAATCTAATGCTCACAACGCACCTCAAGGTATATATAAGTCTTGTTCCAACTCTCGTAATTCCGCCACGACAGAAGAGATGTGTAGAAATTCATAACCAACTGCCAAGTCAACAAATCATTGAGGCTACACTCCTGACAAGAACATTACTTCATTATGAACCAAATAATGCCCTTTGTTCTTTAATATGCTTCATACAACCCGATTGCACTGATCCTAGACCCAATAACCTTGTCTCACCCAGTACGAACTACTCAGACAACAAACCACCCCAGACATGACCAAAAGTCTCGTATGATGCCACGATGTGCCAATAGGCTGCCAACTCGAACGTGATACATAAGGAAACCGAACTCTGGAAGGGACTACTCAACTCGCTGCTAATATGGACTTTCCTCAGAAAATGGAAAACAAGACACACAAAAATTAGAATACAGAAAACTTCTAGTCAACATCATACTGTTGCGGCGTGCAACCCGATCCAAACAACATACCCATGGCGGCGTGCCACCCGATCCACACATAAAATTCACACAAGGAGATACATACCGAGCTAAATTGCTCATTACAACAAAATACCAAATATCGATCCCAAGCAAGCTAAGTGCATAATACCATCCCTGAGGGGACATATAGCGCCATAAGCTAACAAACTCAAGCACAACTAAGGTGCTA